ACTATTTAAAAAACGGTTCAAAAAATATCACACTTCAACCATGACATACCCAACCCTTTATAAAACTATCTTGGATACCAATTGTTGGTCCAAAACTTCGTAAAGAATTTTGAAAGCAAAACATAAAGGTTATTTTCACATCAACTCCCAATTTAAAAAATATTTTTTCTCTCTCTCTCTCTCTCTCTATATATATATATATATATATACATATATATATATATATATATATATATATATATATATATATATATATATATATATATATATATATATATATATATATATATATATATATATATATATATATATATATATATATATATATATATATATTATAGGAGTTTATAATTTTTTTTTTAATAAGAGTTAATAAAAACCACTACTTTAAAAACAGAACTATCCTGTAGTTCGTGAATCTCTTGGTGCATTGATCGCTTCAATAGAAAGACACTTTTAAAAATGAGAACCCTTGTAAAATTAAATGTTCTGCTATATAGCAGTAACATCCAATTTTTGTATTTTCTAAATATTCAGAAGGAATTTCAGTATATTACTTCATATGTATACTGTATAATATTTGTGGATATATACATGGTATTTTAACTCAGTTGATTTTTTTAGCTTTGCTACATTATGACATAATATTAAACAAATAAATTAAAAAAAAAAAACATACTTTTTAACTACTTTTAAATAAAAAATAGTGTTGCGATTTAAACTATTTTCATCAGCAAATTTCTAATCTAACCATTTGTTGATGGGTTATACTTTTCTATACACCCTGCTTTACTACAACACTTTTAAATATCCCCAAAAATATAACAAAGATTAAAGAAACAATTAAAGAAAAAACATATTGTTAAATAATTTTTAGTACTCTTTTATATATACAGTTTTGATAACAATTAAAAAAAATAATAATAAAAAAAAAAAAAAAAAACTAAAAAATAAATATACTAATTCAACTTGGAAAGTGCCAACAGTTACTCCCTAATGTTGTGCTAACTCAATACTTTAGATTACTTGTTAGAAGAGGCTTTTTTTTACATAACCAGTGATAGTTTAAACCCTATTTGGTCTGAATATTACCAAATCCTATTAAAATTTTTTTTATTAGTTAATTGCATAACAGAGGATGGAATGAATCCTAATATGAATATTAACAAACCCTATTCACATTTTTTTTATTAGTTTATTTGCATAACGAAGAATAGAATTAACTATTTATGAAAACTAATTAACTATAATTATTTTACTAACTTGTCACATGTACACTTATTTTAGGTTAAACTTATATATCAATCAATACACTTTTTTTAATTTAAATTAGCGATTGATTCCACAGTTGCGCTTTCTTATTTGAATATGACATTATAGAAAATTTGAAGCCGTTTTTTTACAAGCAGATGCTATTCCTGTCATTAACCTGTTTTGAAAGTCAGGAATTTGTATTTTTATTACTATAATGATTATCATCCAGGCTTTACAAGCTCTTTATTCGACAAGCAAAAATACTCAGCACAAGTTCTATATTTTATAATCTTTACTAAATTTAAATAACAAATATAGTAACACTACAACAGACTAAAAATCTATACGACTCATAATAAAATATTGACAACTATACAACTCATAATAAAATATTGAGATGAACCTTTCCATGCAAAAGTACATTTAAATTTGTATATATTTAAAGTCTTGAACACATTTCAGTTTGAAATAAAAATATTGAGATACTTAGTATCTAAAGCCACAGAGCTTGGATATTTAGGACTCTTTCAAGGTTGTTAAGACGCAAAATTTATAATTTAATTAATGTATTTTTAATTGTCAAAAATTCAACAAATAATTACAAAAACATACAAAAAATGAAAAAAATAAATATAAGACCTATAAAAATGAAAACAATGACAAGTTAACTGCCTGATAAACATGCACACACACATATATAAATACATTACCTATATATTTTTTTGTTTCCCTTAATTTGGCTTTGAATGAATTGTTTTTTCAGAAGAAAAAAAACTTTTTTAAACACAATCACACATAACAAAGTGATGATTTAAAAGAGCTGCTGTCAGAAATTAGTACAAAAAATGAAGCTTAATAAATATTTACAAAAATCATGCAATAGTTTCTGCTCTGTTGTAGTTGCTAGTTATCAATTAGAATTAAAATCATAACATAAACTGTTAACATAAACAGAATGATTATTTTTATCATGTTTATGATGGAGATATAGTATTAACATAAACTGAATGATCATTTAAATTATACTGAATGATTTTATCGAATGAATTTTATCAATTGAATAATCAGTTGGAAGAAAAAAAAAGAATCATATTTTCCTTATTATCTAAATCATTTTTTGTATCATTTAAATGTTAGATCTATGTGAACTATGTACGCAAAGTTTATTCAAATGATAAAATTTCAAATTTTAGATTCATAAATTGATTTGAATAAAGTGCTTAAAGTGTTGAGGTTTTCTGCGACTTGTGACAATAAAAATAGTTTTTCACAGTTATTCAAGCAATAAGTAGCACATTAAAATGTTTTATCAGTTATGGAAAAACATCACATTATTCAATAAGTAAGAAGCATACTAAAGCCAATTTTTAATGTGTGTCTTCTATAAATAAAATTTGATTCAAGAAGTATTCACCGACAACTCTTGTTGTGCACCACATTCTTGTCAGTATTTAGCAAACTTTTAAATCAGGATTAAATTCAGGTACTAAATAAGTTATAACTAATACTTAACTATGAAAGGTTACAAAAGAACAAGTAAAAAATACTGGAAAGTATTTGATGTTTATCTGAAGGGTCAGAGAATTATCTTCAGTTCTAACAGCAAGAAGTGTGAGGAAAAAAAAAAGCTAGAGAGGAAAAAAAGAGTTAGAAAAGAAAAAAAGAGAACTTAGAACAGTTACAGTAAAAGGATTAAACTTGAAGAACAACATTCAGCAAAAGATGATAGCTTGCTTAAGTTGTTACCATTGTAGTATTTATAGAAAAGAGAAAAAAATGCAGCCTTATGACCATTGAAAATGAAATGAGCATGGTCATAAGGAAACCTTATGAACATGCTCAAGCTAGAGCAAGTCCAACTACATTTACAATGTGAACCTAAACATTATTTTAAAAGAAATGGATCGTTAGAGGAGCCACCCCAAATATATCAACAGTAATCTGTACAAACACAAATAAGATTCTGAGGTTAAAAAGTTCTAATAGATTCTATAGCTTCTGAGGTTAAATAGTACTAAAGGATTGTCTAGGAAAACATAAAATAGAGGCCTCAGAATGCTGCAACTCATCAATATAGGAATGTGACAGCATGACAATAATTATTAGCTTTAATAATTAAATCTAAGTTTTTTTCAGGTTCACCAACAGGGAGAGATGAAAATAGAGAGGTTAAAATTCACCTGCATGGAAAGCTGAAAATATAGAGATTAAAATTCACAAGCATGGAGAGCCCAAGCTGTCAAAGAAGAGATCACACTCAAGATCTATTCTAATCAATCAAAAAATTGACTTTTTGTCAATTTTTTGATTGATTAAAATAGATCTTTAAGATTAGGAGTAAATAGGTGTATAATCAGCAACAGGACCAGTGAAGAAACCTAGTTAAGGAAACTAGAAGTTACTGGAACTGAAGAAAAATGTTGTTCATCAATGGCAGCTTCAATACTGCAGTTGAAATAAAAAGATTCAATAATTTTTAAAATTTTTCCATATATGTAGAGACATTAGGGAGAAAACCATTAAATATTTGGAGAAAATATTTTTTACAACTTTTACTATTTTAACCTATTTTGTTTTACATTTTACATGATAAAATTAAATTGAACATTTTAATATCAGTATTATACGTCTTTAGTACTAAAATATTGGTTTACTGTCTGGTAGTGCATATTCTACCCAAATGTGTATGCTGCTAAAAAAGCAAGTTACATACATTTGTAGACAAGAAAGTTTAAATAATAAACAAGTATCTGAAGTTTCTTTTTTTGGCACCAATACAAAATGGACATGACATATTTTTCAGAAAACAAAACTTACAATTACTTATGAAACATTAAAGATTATTTACGAAACATTTATCTGCTTGAATGAAAGATACTGACCAAAAGCTGTGGGTTTTTTTGTTAACAAGTTTCTATAAACTTTTTTTTTACTTAAAGTTTTCACAGCTACTTCTACCTTGAATTTAGCATTACAAAAAAGTCACTAACCTCTGCAACATTTTTAACAACTGGAAGTGTAAAAGAAAGTACATACAAAAAATTTTTATTCTTTAATCAGCAAAAGCAAAACTTTTATGATAGTTGTTTTTGACACACAAAAGATACCAAATGCACAGAAGGAGGTTTATTTGTATGTTTGATATAATTCAATAGAAGGGGCTTTAATAAAAGTGTTATTATGTTTTCTGATATTTTAAACTAAGTACTGCTAAATAATCTCTAGAACAAAGTCTAAAATAAATAATATAAAATCAGCATATAAATCCTGTAAAGAAAAATGAAATATGTTAGGTGTAATCCCTTCTAATTATAAAAACATCTTTATAATTCATTAAAAAACATATAAGAGGTTTCATAGAATTGCCAACAGTATTTATGTATTAAACAAAATTAAAATCACAGGATCAATAATGAAGTATTTAAAAATATTTGTAATAACTTGTAAGTCATTAGATAAGTTACTTTAATTGTAGTTGCAGTTAATACAGAGACCATGACATAACTACAGTCCAAATAAATCAAAAAAGTCACCTTGCATAATAAGATAAAAAAGAAGTATAAATAAACATTTTAACAAAATATTTGCAAGGTAGGTGAGCTGTGGCATCATTCATTGCCTTTAACTTCCATTGTCACAATCTCTATAATAACTGTCAACTTTTATGAGAAGCTGTATTATAATATGTAGCACCTACAATGCAGTTTTTAAAATCAAAAAAATTTAATAACTAATAAATTAATTACCAGTTTTTATTCAATTTTAGCAGCTTTTCTTCTTGTTTTCATTGTATTAGAAGACTTTAATGCTAAAAAAAGGAAACACCAAAATAAAAATTTTATGTCACTAAGTAAATTCTTGATCTTATTATAAAATGGTCTAAGATAACAAAATGTTAAATACTATTCCCTAAGCATAGCCTTATTTTTGTGCAAATAATACTAAAGAAAAACAACTTAACTTAGCAAACTTAACAAGTAACTTTCTGTTGATAAAATATTACTAAACTTAGAAATAGAAATAATTTTTTTTAAATATATGAGAATCTAAATGGTGTAAGTCAATATTTTCTTAATTTGAGATTTTAAAGGTTTTATTAGATTTACTGTAGAGAAAGCACTACAAACTAGTGATCGACAGAAACAGAAAAAAAGCCGAAACCAAAAGAAACCCAAATTTCAGGTACTCAAATTTGGTACTGAAACGGAAAATTCGGCAAATACTTTACTCATACCAAAATTTCGGCCAGTCAAAATTCATTTTATTAGAAAAATTTATTTAAAAATGCAATTTTATATTTTTTGTTTTTTTATACTCGTATTATGTTAAAATTAATTACACGTATATCCTAAAATGATATTTAATACATAAGTCGGCGATATAAGTTAATAGCAAAATTTAACAACTGTCAGATTTTCTCAACAAAACAAGATTTTTCAAAATATTTTGTGAAAATTCTCAATATTTTTTGAAAATTCTCAAAATATTTTGTTAAAATTCTAAAAAATAACTGTTTTTCTAAATTAGATAAATATTTATTTTTGGTATGTTTTTCAACCAAAATATTGGTTTTTACCGAATTTATAAAAAGTACCAAAACTGAAACATTGGTATCAGTTCAAATTAAAATTTTGGCTGAAACAGGTTTCAATCAAACACTACTACAAACTGAAAAAACAAACAAAGCAAAAAATAGTTGCCAGTGTCTTTAACATAATGATGCTTTGTAATCATAAATATTGATTTGACTAAATTTTTTTTTACTTACACCATGTTGATTCTCACTAGCTCATATATTCTTCCTCTTCTGAAAAAAACATTTTCTTTTTTATTATTTGATACTTTGATCTTTTTTGTGTTTAAAACTTGTTTATCTTATTTAACATCGATTTGAAAATTTTCTCTAACAGATCTGATGATGTTAAAACAAAATTTACATATAAATTCTTTATAGACAGAAAACATGCCATACTGTTTCAATTCTGTCATGTTTCTGAATTTGTTTAGTTTGATATCTAACTTTTTTAACCATATCTTTATTTTATTAAATATAATCTTGTTTCTTATATATCTTAATGTCATTAGGTACTAATTCAATAGTTAGCTATCTTTCAAAACACTTGCCAGTTGATCTCTTTTTGTTGTAAACTTTTAATTGTATTTTGATGACAGGTAATCAAATGTCCTGAGCTATCCAAAACTGATAATTGAATAGCAGATTTCTGGCTACCCTCCATATAAAAGATGTCTTCTTGTAAAATTCAAGGAATTTAACTTTAAAATTATTTTTAAAAATTTAGATAAAAATTTAATAAAACTTTGAATTCACAACCTTGACTTGTTTATGAGGAATATAGAGTGAGTCTTTATCAATCATTCTTCTGAACTAAGGTTGAGATTTTGCAATCCTGACCTTAAAGTATCAATTTTTTGGGGACCTTGTTTCTATGTTGTTATGGTAAAACCTTTGTGTTAAATTTGAGAATTGTAACTAAAAAAACTCCAATACTCATTTAATATAGAGTTAAAAAAATTGGGATAACCAATACTTAATTGACAAAATTTCACAAGATAAATTACTCAGGTCAACCAAAAATATTTTTTTTTCTGTTGCCGAGCAAACAATTTTTTTTATAGCATTTCTCATTTTGATTTCAAATATGCAATTCATTTTTCACCATCACGTCAAGTTTTAAAGATAAATTTTTAAGTGTTAAATATTTAATATTTGGGGTAAAATCCCTAATATTGTCGAAAAAAAAGTTAGTCAAAAGTATGTCAACCTGGATCTCAAAAGAAGCTTATTTTTATAGAAATTTTTAAAATGTTATTCGTTTGTAATAAAAATAAGTTCTTTTTGTATTATTGCTGAGAAACATTTTGATAAAATTTTTTTAAGAGTCTTTAGCATTTTTTAACATAATTTTTTTGTCAATAAGTTTTAAGGAAAAATATTTATGTTTTTTAAAATCTCTATAAAAATATGCTTCTTTTGAGACCCAGGTTGACATACTTTTGAATAACTTTTTTTTCGACAATATTAAGCATTTTACTAAAAATACTAAAGATTTGAACCCAAATATCTTTACAACTTGACGTGATGGTGAAAAATGAATTGCATATTTGAAATTAAAATGAGAAATGCTATAAAAAAAACTAATTGTTTGCTCGGCAACAGAAAAAAAAAATTTTTTTGGTTGACCTGTGTTATTAATGGTTAAAAAATTTAAAAAATTTGCCAATCAAACAATTTAAAGATAAAATATTTTGTAGGAGAAATATAAATGTATAAATATGCCTATTTGCACTTATTTATGTTAAATAAACACACACACACACACACACACACACACACTATAAGGTTATCAAACTCTTTTATTAAACTTCTTTCATAGATTGTTCAAATTTTTTTAGTGAAAAAGGAAAGATAATTGCCTGTTCTTAATCTAAAACTATCTTTCTAAAGGAATTAGCTATTGCAAAGACAGTATTGCATTTTTCTGCTTCAATTTAACTGATCTTTCTTCTTTCAATGATGCATTGTATCGATTACATGCTAAACTTTCAACTTTTTAATAGATTATTGGGAAACTCATACTGATGGATTACAATGTCATGAGAACTGATGTGTTCATAAACTAGATCTTTCTTAAAGATTTTTGACCAAAAACTGTTTGTTAACACTGAATCCACACTCCACAATTTACATTGGCCATGAGATAAAGCAAAGATAAAAGCAAAAACTATCCACAATGCTAAATATTTTAGAGTTTTGTGCAAACAGACACCAAGAAATTTATCAACAGAATCAGTTTAAAATTTTGTTAAAAGATTTACATTTTTTTATTTGAACAAACTCTGCACTAACAAATTCACCATACTATTGCCTTACATCATTACCATCATCAGTTGAAAGCAATTTCAATATCCTCAATCTTTCGACAAGAACCTTGAATTTCAAGGTGGATACTTCTTTGTTTTTAAACATTTTATTTGGAGACAAAGATGAAGCATTCCCATTTAAGGATGGTTTACATTGTAACTAAAACAATAAAAATTATAAAATCTGTAGATATCCAAAAGTAACAAAACAACACATATAGAATCATCATAAGGATTATTTAAATTTAATAGTTTTTATGTTATTTGCAAAACATATTTATTCTTGGCTACTTTTACACTGGTTGTTCATGAGAAATGCTTTTAAACAAAACTTATTACTTACAGGGTATAAAGAAAGTTAAACTTTACCTATTTTTATTTCCCCAATAAATTGCTCTGCAAAATCAAAAATGTGAATCAAAAAGAAAATTAAAGAGTTGGGTATTTTGCAATTAACTTAGCAAAAATGGCAACACTCAACTCCAATAAAATACTTCAATGATGAAACTACAGCTACATAAAAAAAAAAAGTTGATAAATCTGATTATTTTGAGACATTGAACTAACATATAAAAATTAAAATACATAAGCAATCAGAAAAAAAGTTATACATTGTTTACATTAGCAACTGCATCATGGAATATAAAAATGTGTGTGAAGTTTGTCACAAAATACAATGTATTATAATCAAGGCAATTTGTTTCTCTGAGCAGTATCCTTGCTTTTCACGGCTTGCGTTTCTGAGAAACCGTTTGAGAGGGATTTAACAACAACTTAAAAAAAAAATGAACAGCTTCTTTAAAATCAACTTAAAAAAATGAACAGCTTCTTTGAATGTAGCAAATGCCTTGGCTTTGTGGAAGCGAATTAAGTAAAAAAAAAAAAAAAAATGTAAAAAACAATTCCTGAAAAAATAAGTGTTTATTAAGTTTAAATAAGTATTTTATGTTTTTTTGCAGATAAAAAGTTTAAAGGTATTTATTAAAGGTTATTATTAAATGTATTGCTTTTTTTATTGGAGTTTGATACTTAAGGTTTTCAATTTATTTTTATCATTTATTATAGTTATATTAAAGCAAATATTCTTAAAAAATTACTTTATATAAAAAATAAAACTGACATATGGAAACTTTTCAAGTAAATAACTACTAGTAGAGCTTGTACTAACAAGTCTATCACTCAATTTACAGGCAACTAACATTTAACTATGAATAACATTAAACTATAAAACAGTTGGACAATAGTTGTAGAGATGTAAAATTGTATTATTTCAACTACTTTTTCTTTAACAAATTAATTTTTCTTGATAATATTCGTAACTTGTTGTTATAACATTACTGTATTCAACCCTCGGAATTAAGAAAAATGATGTCGGCAATAAATTGTTGAACTCAAACTGTTAGAGGTCAGTAAAAAAATTTCACACAAAGGGGTTACCATAAAACATAGAAAAAAGGTCTGCAATTTTTCGCCGATCTCAAACACTTTAAGGAAACACTTTTAGGTTGGCAGTTAGGTCTAATTCTGAGGGTTGTATATTTTATTAAGATATTATTGTATATACTAATTGTATAACAAATACTAATGAAAATAATTTAAAAATTAAATTAAATTTAAACCTTTTTTCTTCTTGGATTTTTCTTTTCCATCAATTTGTTTAATCATTAAATATGCTAAGTAACCACAAATAAGCATAAGAGGAGAAAGGATTAAAAGAACTAAAAATAAAAAAGATGTGTATAGAATTATTTTTATTAAATTGGATTTTATTAAGATGGAGTTTTTTAAAATCTTTCATATTAAACCTAAATAACTAAAATTTTCAATATATATTTTATATTAGATTTATGGAAATATAATTTGAATTATTAAACCAAATTTTTCTCTCACTTTATTTTATAGTAAAACAATTTATGCTAAAAAATTTAATGAAAATATCAACTTAAAAACCCAATGCGTTTTACATTTTCAATGTTATAAACTTTATAAAACAGCAATAATACGGGGGGAGGGAGGGTTTGAGAATTTCTAAAAAAGATTTTTTTTTTGCGATTAGATTTATTTACGTTAAATTCTAGCCATGTAAATCATGGTAATTCCTTTATTCCATATATTTTTAAGTTTATTTTCACATGCTTTTTAAACTTTTTACACAGATTATAATTAACCAACACATTTCAAGAGGTTTTTCTAAATATTATTTAGATGGGTACTAATATACGAACTGCTGATAAATAACAATTTGGACAACAGCTACTAAAGCGTTTAATTTTTTAAAGTTAATTGTATTATAAAATTTTTTTAACAAAAAGTTGACAATATGTATAGTTTTTCTACCTCTTACTAGAAAATATTCAAATAAGGAATAAGTACATACACATTAATTCCCCTATTTGTCATGAAATCAGGTTCGAATCCTTTGACCATTCTTTTATGTGCTTTCGCCTAGCACCTCTTCACTCCATCACCTTTCTTTTTGTTCTTTATCGTTCTCCTTCTTCCCATGATTGCACTCTTTTAGATGTTATCTCTGATCAAATTGACCATCCCCTCTCTCTTTACCCCTCTGCCAATATTGTTGTTGTTAGTGATTTTAATGCCCATCACACTGAATGGCTTGGCTCTAACACCACTGATCCTGCTGGCATTAAAGCCTTTAACTTCTGCGTTTCTTAATCTCTTACTCAGATAGTTAACTTTGTGACTCGTTTTCCTGACAACCCTAATCATTTAACTTCACTCCTTGACTTATGTCTTGTCTCTGACCCTAGCTTATGTTCAGTTTCTCCCTTTTCTCCCTTAGGTGGTTCTGACCATGCAATGATTTCTATAAATCTTTCTTCTCGTACTTCTTTTTTGGGCTCACCTTATCATCACACCACCTACTACTACCCTAAAGCTGACTGGGATTCTTTTCGTGATTTTCTTCGTGATGGTCCTTGGGCTGATGTTTTTCTCTCTCAGCTGATAAATGCGCCTTCTACGTAACCTCTTGGATTCAGGCTGGAATGGAAGCTTTTTTCCTTCTCATCGGTTTCAAGTCAAGCCTCATTCTACTCCATGGTTTTCTCCTTCTTGTGCGGCTGCTATATCCAATCGTAATCATTTTTTTTTAATCTTTTTCAAAAGAACAGTTCTCTTGAGAACAAACGGCTATTTATTATTGCAAGAAATCGATGTAAAAAGGTGCTTTCTGATGCTAAACTCCATTATTCTCAGTTCACTAAATCTCGCATCTTATCACAGAAGTTAGGCTCTAAAGACTTTTGGAAAATCTTCAACAGCATTATTAACAAGGGTAGATCTAACATTCCATCACTCATTCATGGGACTGATCTTATTACCTCTCCCAAGGAAAAGGCAGAACTATTTGCAAAGAACTTTTCTTCTAATTCCACTCTTTAATCTTATAGACATTCTCTTCCTTCCATTCCAGTCAAACAGGTTGACCCATTGCTAGACATTCAAATCACTCCGGCTTCTGCTGCTAAAGTCATAACTCAATTAAACTCGTCTACAACTTGTGTTCCAGACAACATTCCTGTCACAGTCTTGCAGAATTGTTCTCCAGAACTTTCTTCAATTCTCTCTAAACTATTTAACAAGTGTTTGACTGAGTCTTTTTTTTCTGCTTGTTGGAAAATGGCATCTGTGGTTCCAATATTCAAAACCTCTGGAGAAAATTCTGACTCCTCCAATTATCGTCCGATCAGTCTTCTTTCTGTTATTAGCAAGGTCTTTGAGTCTTTGTTCAACAAATTCCTCGCATCTCATCTTGAGTCAAATAAACTACTGTCAGACAATCAATACGGTTTTCGATCCTCTTGCTCTACAGCTGACTTGCTAACTGCTGTAACTGAAAGATTTTATCGTGCATTAGATGGAGGCGGTGAGGCTAGGGCTATTGCTCTTGACATATCTAAAGCTTTCGACAAAGTTTGGCATGCTGGTCTTCTCCATAAGCTTGCTTCATATGGTGTTTCTGGGAAAGTTTTTGAGATTATCAAATCATTTCTTTCTAACCGGTTTATTAAAGTAATCCTTGAAGGCCAACATTCTTCTTTATTTCCAGTAACTTCTGGGGTTTCCCAAGGTTCCATCCTGGGCCCTGTTTTGTTTCTTATCTACATAAACGATCTTCCTGACAACCTTTCATCTAAAGTAGCTCTTTTTGCTGATGACTCAACTTTATACTCCTGTCTTGACAAAAAGTCTTCTCTTTTCGATCGCCTAGAACAAGCAGCTGATCTTGAATCCAATCTCACTTCAGTAATAGATTGGGGTTTACAGTGGCTTGTGAATTTCAACTCTAACAAAACCCAGTTGTTTACTGCAAACAACTACCGTAATATGGTCAACATTCCTATATTAATGAATGACAATCCTCTTACTGAATCCTCCTTTTTACGTCTTCTTGGATTATTGCTTTCTACTGACCTTTCATGAAAACCATATATACAATCGATTGCTAAATTAGCTTCTGCTAAGGTTGCTTCTCTTTATCGTGCTCGCCATTTCCTTACTTCTGATTCCATTCTCTACCTCTACAAATCTCTTATTCCTCCCTGTATGGAATACTGTTGTCATATTTGGGCTGGTTCTAACGATTCTTCTAACGATTCACTTTCTCTTCTTGACAAGGTCCAAAAACGCATTGTAAATGTTGTTGGACCTGGACTATCTGCTAAGCTTGAGCCTCTTTCCCATCGTCGTAAAGTTGCATCTTTTTCTCTTTTCTACAGATACTATCATGGTCACTGCTCAAAGGAGTTATCATCTCTAGTTCCATCAACTAAAATTCATTCTCGTTTTACTCGTCATTCAGCTCATTCGTTTACTGTATCTGTCCCTGCATGCTCTAAAAACTTTTATTCATCTAGTTTTTTTCCCCGCACTTCAATCCTTTGGAACTCTCTCCCATCTTCATGTTTTCCTGACTCATACAACCTTCAACTTTTCAAGTCTTCTGTCAACCATTTCCTTGCTCTATAACTCTGTTCTTTTTTTTCCTAGTAACTCCTAACTTAATAGTGGTTACTTGCAGCCTTGTTGGGAGTGAATGCAAATTAAAAAAATAAAAAAATATATAGAAATGGTCAGTGTGGAAAAGATTTACCAAGATCTGTATTTTATGTGTCTGGACAACTGCTTTTATTTAATCTTAACATAATCTAAAAATTCTGTAATAATATAAGTAGTGTTGTACAACTATTAAATAATTCGACTAAATTGACTATATTGGTCATAGTAAGTGTATTTTACACCAGTTTTGCCCAAGGCCAGCTTGAAGTGGCCCTGGGGAGTAAACATAAAAACTAGGTAATAGCTATAATAGTACATACTATTGTTATTAAATGAACAAACAAAAACTAAAGATTGAAAAGTTAAATTGAATAGATTTTTACTCTACTAAATCGAATAATAATAAATAAATTATTTTGTGATTTAAAATTTAGACCCTCTGACTGTATACCCCATTGAATTTTAACTACACAGTGTATGATATACAAGTATAGTATTAAAAAAAGTATATAAAAGCTTGTTATTAATATAGTAGATAATATGTAAAAAGATAAATTTTTCTCAAGAAATCTTTTTTGAGAAATGTTTAAAATGTTAAAAAAATAGTATTGCATTTTTTATATTCTATTCAAAATTACTTGTTAAAATAATTCTTAGTTAGAAGCTTATTATGTGTTAACAACATATAATATATAAATAAAAACATTTTTATGGCTAACTTTTGCAAGTAAATGTCTTAGACTATATTAAGTATATTTAATAGTTGAGTAAATAAACTTAACTAGTTATTTTGATTAAGTAAATAGGAAAATTTACTTGTCATGTATTTTAACCATTAATTTTAAAATAAATTTAGATTAACATTAAATTTAACTTTAAAATAGATTTCAGATATTATTGGTTTTTGCGCAGAGATTAAAGTAAAATTCAAAAGCGCTTTATGTTTAAAATTTATTAAAACATTAATAGATAATGAATGAAAATCTCCGCGCCAGAGAGCAAAAAAATTTCGATTTAAATGTTAAAATTAGCTCTGACAAAAACATTCTATACTTTCAAGAATGGCTAAATATAATGCTACATTAAAAAATAAAAAAAATAATGAAAGTATATACATATATACAAATGGTGAAAAAATTTTTTAAGAAAAACTAATCTAGAAGATGTAAAAAGTAATTGTGAATTGCGATACACTTAATTCAAGCCCTGATTCATATAATACAGGCCATAGTAAGTGCATTTCACACTGACCATTTCTATACTTATGCTTAATACAATCATTTTATTTTAATAGTTTTTAGTAAGTAATAGAATATAAAAAATTTTTTAAATTTTTGTTTTGAGTTAACAATTAATATTCAATACTTGATAACTCCATTTTTTTACGGGAACAGGATAGGAAAGGGAAAAATAATCACGTGAGCATGCGTAGTTTTCCTTCTGACATATTAAAACTTAGACTACGCATGCCCATGTGATTATTTTTCCCGTCCCTTTCCCGTTCCCGTAAAAAAACGGATGAGTGGTAACTCGCCTTAAGCTTGTTGACAAATTTTTGAAACAACCTGATAACCTCTCAATCACTGATCTGTATATATTATATCTATGCACTCAAAAAAACAAAAAACAAAGCCATTATTCCGTTTTTAATCGATCAATTTTTCGATCGATCAATATTTATCCATCACGCGACGTT